GGAGATAAAGTTAAATTCTGCCGTGATAAAACGCCATCCTGTTCCAAACCACATCAAGGATTATTTTTGAAACAGTATGGAGCTCAAATGCTTTTTCTCTTGCGGGTTCATCACAAGGTGAGTTCCATTTTGTATTTCCTGCTTTATAACACATGTGCTCTCCAGTACTGCGTTAGCTCGGAGTGTTAGCGATGCTTGCTAATGTAAACAAAGACCATAATACGTCCAAAACACGTCAGGCATTGTTTCTGATAGCAACTTTCTGTGGGTTCACCATCCGAAATTACGTCATATCGGCAGCAAATCTGTATCTGCTCGTTGTACCCCCGTTTTTTTAAAGATTTGGGTACGGAGGAAAAGAGAGAGGGTTTTATTTTCTGACGCTGCGTGACTTCCCTGACACACCGGGGACACATATTTATGTATAGAAGACATCAACAAGTGCATTTTGCATAATAGGTCTTCTTAAAATGAAAAAACGATTTCCTTAGCCAGGTCGCTAACAGCGGTGTGAGGCTCTCCACTCCTGCTTCTAATTTAGAGTGGATTTCAGGTGGCTCCACCCACACTCAATCTGCAGTTTTAGGCTAAAGCTGCAGATTGAGTGTGGGTGGAGCCACCTGGCAGCAGAATAGATAGATAGATAGCCTCTAATTACACTTTCTCTGAACACCTACAAACAATTTGTACTCCTCAACCATTCGGACAGACATTGGAGCCTATCCAAGCATTACTTTGAAGCAGGAAACCTAGCTAAAAGTCACCAGTCTCCCAATGCCTACACAACAACATTAACACTTGCTTTACCATTTTAAGGCATTTGTAATCAGTTGGCCTGAGTCCAGTTCAGGCAGGAAGATACTCAAGCACTTAAGAGAACCACCTCCACATAAGAAGCCTAACTTGTATGTCTTTGCATATACAATAAAATGACACAGTTTTCATCATCCATCATCGCAGAAACTGAGCTCATTTAATATTAATAGTCACCTCAGAGTAAACTGAAAGGCAGACATCTATCATCTGCCTTGATAGCAGTGTGATGTGGGACCTTGGCTGACAACAAGGTGTCAACGACTGTGTCAGCCTTTGATGGACAGATGTGAGTTCACTACCCGGGCACGGTGATGAAAGATGGGCCGGCTGCTGCTGTAACACTGTCAGGTCTTTTGTAGAAATAGTCCATTCATACAAACCAAATCACACAAAGCACAAATAACCATCCCCTCTTTCCATAAAGTTCCAAGGCCACACCCTACCACCCCCTGATTTAAAATCCCCATGCTCAAATTGACTCATTGAGTCATTGAAATAAAGAGATCAACGCAGCGGGACCTCTGTAGTCTCATTATTCTAATTCTGCGTCCTGCTGTGATTGGCACGGGGTCCAAAGGAAATACAATCCATGTGCCAGTTATGCTTCATATTGAATTTCACATAAAGAAATATGGCCTGTAACATCAATGTATTCAGCAAATTACCTTTAAAAATAAATGCAGAGTCATTTAAACTGAAAGACCTTTAAAATGTCAATTTAAAGTCACAAATTGAAGTCGCTACTCACTCTAAGATTGTTTCTCTGGCAAAGGTTTACACATATATGCAACAGTGCAGACCCCTGCAGTTAGCTGTCGGCCCTTTTCATATAGTGTCTCCAAAAGAAAGCCATTTTCAGCTTGTTCTTAGTCGAGTGAATACATGTGTCATTACTCAACACCCCTCTCCTCTCTCTCTCTCTCGATCTCTCTCTCTCTCTCTCTCTCGTCTCCTCTCTCTCTCTATCTCTCTCTCTCTCTCTCTCTCTCTCTCTGATCTCTCTCTCACTAGTTCTGACTCGCTTGGCCACACCCTCCTTTATTTTACCCCCACCAGCAGCGCCCAATGATAAGCCATTGTCAAAACAACATTTTTATAGCTATAACTCGCTAGCATTATTCTCCAATTACAACTTCTTTCCTAGTGATATTTGCGCAGCCATTTATGTCTCAGCTTGAAATTAGCTGTTAACAAATCATCAGGCTCATAAAACCGCCTAACAGGGCAAGATGTGACTAAGCTTAAGGCCTTTTATGGAACTCAGCAATAAAAGGGGTAAGATAGTTTTTTATTAGGGCTCCCCGGAGAAAGATATTGTGAATGTTTGATTCATTGGATTCAGAAAAATAAAATCACCATAATCTGGTGCTAAAGTTATTTTAAACACAAGGTGAATCATTCTCTAAAACCAAAGGCTAATCAAAATGTTATGAGACCAGCTGCAGACGTTGGGTCCCTGTGAAGCTGAACTGCTCCATATTTAGTCTCTTCTCCTTTAATGGGTCGAAGGTTACCAAAGGGAAAAAATGTATGCAAATATCGCCCTTGAAAGAAAACTCTTAAAATAAATGAAGTATAGGCAACTTTTAGATACATTGGTTGAGATAAAAAAATACATAGTTTGATCTTAAAATAAGATTACTTTCATTATTATAAACCATGAAAAACTCATTAACTCATTCGTTAATTTATAGCAAAACAAGTCACATTTCCCTTAAATCTTGGTATAAAATGATGTATACAAAGCTATGACAAAATAAATACATTTATATTGCTGTACTGAGGCATAAGTGTGTGTATTTTGGGACTTAATGAGAGTCCATGCAGAGTGTCTCCACTTAATCTTCCTGAATATAAAACGACCGAGCTGCAATTTTATATTTCTTTCCTGGTGTTTTATAAAATGTCAAAATACTTATGGCTCATCATGGGGCACTTTTAACCTTTACATGAATTTTACACCATGGCGTGAATCCACAGAAAAAAGTGAAGTTGTGTTTGCTTTCTCGAGGCCCTGTGGACAAATGAAATGCTTCCTTTTGTTACCTTCTTGACATTATAATTCCACTTTCATTTAGATGAAAATGGCATGCAATCTGAATCTCTCAAAGTGCTTTTAATTGCTTTGTTTCCAAGAGCATGAATGAAACAATTGCTTAATAATCAACTCTTTTTTGACACTTTATCTCCATCAGTTTGCATGATTATTGGTACAACAATTGCATGAGTATTGGTAAAATATGTTTTAAAACATTTGGTATAATAGGGAAGAAGTCATGTTTTGGAGAGTAGACAACTGCTTCTAGCAAACAACTATAAATATGCTTCATCGTCTGATATAGGCCTGGAACTCCTCTGTGCCCGGAGAAATTGTAGCTTGCAGGCTCAGACTGCTCCCACTATAAAATATACGATCCCTCACATGTGGTTGTTAACCTTTTATCTTTAATCTTTGAGAAGAAGCAAATTATGTCGTACATAAAATACCTTTTAGTATGCGTGGATTTCAATGTTTCTGCCAATTTGTTTTTGTTTGGAGAAGGAGATGAGTTGGGACAGCAGGCTCGCCTTTGGGAGAACAATCTGTTTGCTTGTAAGCTTTAAGATCCTGTTTTATTTAGATGCACAAATCTGGCAGTGGCATGAACTCCAACTCAGTGCCTCTGGGAGGAGGGGAAGAAGCCAAGTGAATCTCTTCCAGCAGGGCTCAATTGGTAAGCCACAGACACAAGCTGAAATAAAAAGTATAATTTGTTCATTATATTACTTTGTGATTCCACCGGGCTGAATACATTTCAACTTTCTGTCTAACGTCTGCTTTATGATAAAAATGGTTAGATTGTCGGAGTGTGTTTGCATATTTTTTTCTGGCAGTCTAAAGGCTTGCAATCAGCTGCTTGAATGAACTTCATGGCACTTAAAATGTTTTTCATTCAGTCCTGCAAAGTATCAGGGAATCTAGTCCCCCTGTGGTTTACAGTAAATGAGAGGTGTGTTTCACTTAATCAGCAAATGGAAATAAATAGCCTCTAAGAAGGCAGGCAGGTGTGTTTTGAATGTGAAACATCCAAGGAGAGGTTTGTGGACAAAACAAAACGGATTGTATTATAATATACATCAATCGTATAAAACAGAGATTTACAGTAAACAAGCACAGACAAGCCACATGTACCTTGTGAAAATAGTCAATCGGTATTATGTAAAAAAGTTTTTGAGCAAGTAATAAGCATGTTTTGTCTTGACTATATTACAACTATATTATAATAAAATAATATAGTATTTATATTATTGAATTGATTATTATTATTAATAGTAGAAGTAGTTTATTTACATCAATTCTATTTTAATCTTTTTGAGGCTAGTATTCACCTGTAAACGCATACTGAACGACATTTACCATTTACCTCACTGTATAAAAAAGTAACTGTGTTGATAATAATAAACAGGAATTATATTTGCAAAGTACTTTGTTTCCAAAAAAATAAATGTCACTCCTGTCGGTGGGGGCGGGGGGGCTTATCTCACAATGTCGCTTGGGGCCCCAAGTTGGCCAGGGACGGCCCTGTCTGCAATATAAATCATTGTAAATCAAATGCATTTAGGCAAACAAAAAACAAGGCTATTAAACACTTATCTAAGTGTACAATAAATCCCAATATCTAGGTTACTTTGTGTACAGTGCCTGTGTGTATGTGTTTTAAAAGGAGGCCACAATCACACACATCTGGCACTTTCTCTGCATTTCTGCTTATGTGCGAGTTTATAAATCAGCTGCCTGTTCTCTTGGGAGCTTAAAATAGCAATCATTTATATTAGTATGTTTGTGTGTTTGACCACTGTGTGTGTTGTGTTTAGCATGTTTAAACCAACTTTTGCCATGAGCCAGTTTGTATCAATCATCTATTCTTGTGTCAACCTCTTATGGCTGTAACATTGAATTTCAATTATTCCTGATTTAGCTAGTGACCCCTTGGCTCATCCTCAGGCCCCCCTATGTCCACTTCTAAAACAACTAGCGGCTCATTGTGCACGTTGAATAAGGGCGTACAGTGGGTATGCACTCGCATTGTCCTTCAGATCATACATACACACATCCAGCGGTGTGTTCCGGGCTGTGCCAACGCCCTCTGGCTGCGGGCAGGGGGATTGCAGCCTACCATGGTTTCAGTCCTCAGCCCTGAAGCTCGCCTCTCATGTCACCAGCGCTTCAGCAGGACGCAGCCAGCCTCTTCCTTGTGACGTTACCGAGGCTCAGGGCTCCGATCATAATATTTAACACACACACCCTGGATGAACACTTTGAAGGAAGACAAGGCGCTGTAAAGGAGGGGGTGGGCATATGACAAGCAGGATCCCTGCACCTGCTAGCCAGTCTCTGATTTGACTTCAACGAGACATCAGAGCGGGACAGCATCCAAGCATCTCAGCGGATCACCTATCTTTATGGAATTTCACTTTTTTTGTAATCATCCTAAATACAAGGAAGGCTGTGTTTCTGTGGACTATGTCAATCCCTCCTGTTACTTTCCCCCCAGTTATGACACATTTGACATATCACTCCGTGCTGGCAACGATAGAAGGAAGCAGATTTAAGGAAGAACATCGGTGTTTTTAACTGGAACCCACTCCTTCCTCCTCCTTCCTGGTTCATTTTCTTAACGATTTATTTAGGGTTCTGTCCTCCTCACACTGTATCCTGCTCAACAAGGCAATGAATGAGACGCACTTCTTGAGCTGCTGCCAGTGAAGAGTCCACAGCCCACAATGGGTCAGTCCACCTGTCTGACTGGGAATGAAGAATTTGGACTATTGTAAAAAATAAAGACTGAGCACATCATGGAGTTGATAAAATACGCTGACATGCATTGTGAGTGCAATGACTACAGTACATCTGGAAGCCAACATTGCTGCTTTGTCATCGCATAACAGTGTTGGACGTCAATGTCTGTGTCTGTAAGGTGCGCTGCTCTTAAAGCTTTCTCTGCGTAAGGAAAATACATTTTAAGATGATTTTGTTTCGTAAATTCCGAGTGTTGATACTCATGGTGTTTCTGGTCGCGTGCACAATGCACATCATGATAGACTTGTTACCGAAACTAGAGAAGCGGGCGGCAGGAGCGGACAGCGGGGACAGCGGCTGTCAGTGCGCTCAGCACCCGGGCGGGGAGGCACAGGGCTGGGGGAAGCAGCGCGCCAGCTCGGCGGCGGAAGCGGGCTGGCCTAACAAACACACGCTGAGAATCCTGCAAGATTTCAGCAACGAGCCGAGCTCCAACCTCACGTCGCATTCCCTGGAAAAGATCACAGCAGCCGCCGGTGACAGAGCCGAGTCCTTCCGGCGGATCAGACCGTCAGGCGGGAAGGCGGAGGACCACAAGACGCTCATCGAAGACGCCAGCTGGGGTCGAACCGTCCCTGCCCACGGTGTCTCCCGACTGACCGCTCTCTTTGAACATCCTTTATACAAGGTTGACCTTCCATCCTTCACGAACGATGATACTTTGTTCAACCTCAACACTGACATCAGGTTTTACCCCAAAGCAACAGGGAACCAAGGATGGTAAGCTGATGGGCATCTGTTACACTTAAAGGGGTACAAGTGGGACAGTGCAGACATTTGTCATTTCTCACTGTTAATGGGAAGGTTGATCAGATGAAAGTAGGGACCACAATCAGGTGATACTATACTACATGCTTGCCTCATTGTTATCTGATATTTACAATGAAGTAGTTGTTTTGAAATAGCTTTCTTGCTTTATGATGTTTGACCAATTTGCATACTTTTGCATAATGTCCATGCAGGCATACCTATCATGAGACATCTGCCAGTGCATATATCCGTCTATTTGTCTGTCTGTTTGTTTGTCTGTCTGTTTGTCTGTCTGCCTGTTTAAATATAATCAAATCAATCAGTTCCTCTATCCACCCTGTCAGTTTTATCTGCCGTCAGTAATGTCCACTCATGCATCTGCTGCATGCACCCCTGTCTCATATTCTCATGCCATTTTACCTTATTGCGCACACAACTTATGAGTAACCATCCTGCTTGGTTTTTGTTTAAATATCTGTCTTTTTTTTCATCTCAAAATAGTTACAAATCCATGTGTTAATTATAGACGAAATGCTCAGTGCCAATTCCTCCACCACTAATTTCTCTTTTACAGTTTGGCTGTATCAACAGACTTCAACAAATACTGCATCCATCAATAACATCGACTCACGATAATATGAATGGGAATCTGCTTGCACCACAACTTCTTGGTAAACCCTCCTCTCCACTCCCTGTTTTTCAGGCACAATGAGGAGGGGAACGAGGAGGAGGAGGAGTTCTCTCCGACAGGAGAGGTAATGGCAGAATCTTACCCCAACTGGTTACGTTTCCACATCGGCATCAACCGCTACGAGATGTACTCCAGACACAGTGTTGTGCTGGACGCCCTGCTGAAGGACCTCGCCTCACAGAGGATCACCAGCGTCGGTGAGTCAGTCAGGGAGAGCTATGTTACCAAGGTGTGTGTGTTTGGATGTGTGTATATTTCAGTGAAGTCTTGGTCAATATTTGTTTGTACTATCCTGTGATGTAATGCAACCTCACAGGCTTTGCCACCGTGGCAATATGTGTTGGGTAAAAGCAATGAAAAGTATTCATATTACAAAATAAACATGCAGTTTTAGGAGCAGTATCAGCCATCAAACCCCAAGCTGGTTGATTTGATTATCGCCAGGAATTTAAATGCAAAAACAGTATCACTACACAAAAATCCCAGAGGTTAGCACCTAAAACCATTAGACACTTATTTATAAGATCAGTCTTGATGGAAAAAACAAACAAAATACATAGAAACATACATATCGATAGTCCCCCTTGCAACTCCACACGCATGCTCTAAACTCCTTTTCTTAAAAGTGAACCATTAACTCAACCCTCCCCACATAGCCACCAACATTTTATTTTTTAAATAAAAAAATGAAACCTTAGAGTGGTGGACTGAGTGCACCTGACTTCCTGTGTGTAAAGTGCGCACGTGTGTGAGAAGGAGGTCACAATCACACAAATCTCGCCCCTTATCTGTATTTCTGCTTATGCACGCAAGTTTATAAAACAGTGATTAGCTGCCTCTTCTATGGGAGCTTACTATAGATTATAACAACCCTTCTTTATCATACAATGTGTGTGTGTGTCGCTGTGTGAGAGCATTTTTGCCCCCGTCAACATGTTTGTTAAGATGTGTGTTACTGCTGCTTAAAGGTGGGGTAGGTAAGTTTCAGAAACCGGCTCGAGATACACTTTTTGTTATATTCCATGGAATGCTCTTAACATCCCGATAGCAATGAATATCTTAAGTGCTTTGACAAAAAATCCATACAAAACATGTCATCTGTGGAAGCCGTAATACTGTAAAAAGCACAACCAATCATTTTAGTCGGCCCGACCTGGAATGCTGACAGGCAGGTAGGCCATCCGCGCACATGACCAATGGGCACGAGATACGTTTGTGCACAGATGGAATGCTGACAGGCAGGTAGGCATTCCATCTGTGCACAAACTTATCTTCGTTCGTGTGTGTTGGAGGAGGGGCTCTGTAAGGAAGTGGCAGATATTTTCCGGCTGTGTATTTTCAAATTCTACCGCACTCGAGCTGGTTTCTCCAAAATTAGCTACCCCACCTTTAATGACTATATATATATAATCCCCTAAAGGTCCCACAAGCACTTTATTTCACCTGACCAACCTTTAAAAAGAGAACATGCGCTCTGTCTAGACTCTAAAGTAATACAATTTAAGACAGATGGGTAGAAAAGAAGGATCATACTTGACCAACAAACTTCACAAAGTTACTAAACATCTTAATGCAAACTCAAAAGAAAGTTTAGAAAACATTTGAGAAATGTTCCCTTCTTACAAGACTACATTTCTTAACATTGCTTTAATTCCCAAATACCCATTAGTGTCTGTCATTTGAAAACAATTAGCTTTTGAACCGGATAATTCATCACTACATATTCTAAACATTCTACATATTCTGTAAGTGAACTTTAACATCAAGCCAAGCTTTGAGAAATTCTGTTCTTAAGAAAGTAAAATATTTCCAGGTGCAATGATTCCAGTTCTTGACATTTTCTAGAAATGATTTGACTATTTGTAAGAGACAGGTCTGCTATAAGACTGATTTATACTATTTCCCCACTTGTGTTACAGTAAATACCACACGATCAATGTATCATATATCTATAATTTATCCTACTATAATTTATTATACTGACATTATTTACGCCCTGTAAAAAAGAGATGTTGTCTGAGTGTGAAGATTGCTAAAGTGGCTTCATACAAACTGGACATGAATACCAACATATCCTCCAGTGGCGCATGCTGTTATCTCCATTCCTTTGTGCATCAGTGTCATTGTATTTCTTATTGAGGCTGCCTCCTCTGTCTCATTTGTATGATTCCCTCACAGGCAACTCGCAATCGTTCATCATTCATGCTACACATCTCAGCGTACACTTAGTAGTGTTTGCTTTTTGTGCTCTCTGTTAGTAATTTATAAACCATCAATCAGCGCCCTGCTGACACACCTACTGTATAATACACAGTCTGTCTTCTGAAAAGATAAATGCAGTGCTTTTGTGTTTGGTAGCATGCGTCAAAGCTTTGTGCCCGATAATTGGTGCCCACACTTACCACATACCTGTCCCACTACAATTACACAACAGAGACAGCATTAGAAAGTTTCCCTGCTCAGCATTTTCACTTCTTCCCCCTCTGTGTTTGTCTCTCTGCGGCCTTTTGTTCAGTCCTCAGCTGGACTCATAAATCATACGCACAGTGCCGTGAAGTGGCACAGGTGAGAGTGGAAGAGATTTATTATCACTGCACAGCATTCAGGGGAATCTGATGATAGTGGGTGAGGCCTGGAGCTCTCTTAAAGAACAGAGAACATGAAGGCTTAGGAAAGACATCCTTTCATTTGTGGACGCTTGGAGAAACGGCTGAAGAGATGGATCTAAGACATTTATGCACGGACACTGAGACAGATGCCTTTAGGGGAATCATAAGAATGTTTAGTTGAAGTTTACTGTTGTACAAGTCCTATTTGATTGCATGACAGTGCAGATACCATGCAGAGAAACAATCAGCAGAGCTTTTCCGCTTTTTCACAGGGGATTACCTTTAGTAGTTTGCAATTATAAACATTTTGTAAACGTCCAGCACAGAGCAGAGTATTGAGGTCAGCTTCTCACGCATTGTGGCTTATAGGTTCAAGGTCGTCACCGCATTAAAACATTGTAGGGTCGTCTGCAATCCCTCAAAGGTTCAGGGATTGATGTACGAAGTTTAAAGATGAATGTATAGGGCACTTTTCCTTTGACCTGGTTTCAGTAAATCTAGAACATGTGTAGTCCTAATGCCGTCAGCAAATTATTTGGCTTTCAATATCACTCAATATCCATCCTCTGTGCTGAAGAAGAGGCGCTGACCAAAGGTAATGTAGATAGAACTTTGTGCAACAGTGGATGTATCATACTAAAGCTTTTTGAAAATGAGTCACGGTAAATGGGGCTTGCCAGCGGTGAGTAAAGCAAAGTGAGACAGGCGGAGCATAACGGACACAAAAGACAGTTCTGTGTAATGGGTGAAGTACAGCCAGCAAGCCATTCAATAAGTGGGTCCACTACAGTGGGCTTATGTTGATTTTGGGGTTAGGCAGAAGCGCTGTATTGTGTAAAATGCTCAAGTTAATGCTCTGTAGTAAATGGGCAAATCCCCCGAAAGCCTGTCCATTATGACAGAAACACAAGGCATTAAGACAGGCCTGGCGCTCCCTTTGTTTGAGTCGGAGGCAGACAGGAAGCTCACAGTGAGTCTCCGTCAGCCTCTGGGAGACACCGCGGACATGACTGATCGTCAGAGACATGTGCCCCCGCTCCTCACCTGGGGCCAAGGAGCTCAGCCTAGTGGGAGTCAGAGGAGAAGCAGTCTAATGTGCACAAGCAAATCCTGACAAAGTATACAGAGAAACATCTGCTCAGAATCAGGTCTGTTACGTGCACATGTACAGTTCATTGTTATTTGATTCAGGAAATGAAGAGTCCTCCGAGTTTCGATACAATAGGGTTCTCAAAATGTTATTGCATTAAAAGGCAAGTTGTATTTATCAGTGGACTTTATGTGGACATAGAAACAGATTTCCAATGCAAGTGTCATAGCATTTATAGTGGCTCTTGGTTTTCAATACCCAATCCTAGAAGGGATTCTATGAAACTAAATGATTAGAACAGTAAAGAGAAAGTAAGATGCCGGAGATACAATAAAGCACACAAAATATAAAAAACGAGAGATGAGAAGATTCAACTTATTGTCATTACTAGTACAGACACTATGTAACGAAACGGTTTCTCTGCATTTGACCCATCCTAGTGTTAGAAGCAGTGGGCTGCCATTATGTACAGCACCCGGGGTGCAGTGTCTTGCTCAGGGACACCTCGGTAGCACTTGGTCTTTCCGGGACTTGAACTGGTGACCTTCCAGTTGCCAAGCCAAGTCCCTATGGACTTCGCCACCACATGTATCTTGCTGAATGAACATGGATGTGGCGGCTATTTTTAAAAGTGTGCGATACAAAGTGACTTTTGACAGAAAATGTTTTGCAAAATGAAACCTATTGTACAACTGCCACTTGAAGCTGCTCTGCTAAATGTCTGGATGTATTTGCAAGACTTCTGTCACTCAGTCATTGTGCAATTGTTGTCTTTCTCAAAGCTGCACATGTTGTTATCAAGACACAGTCACTCTGTCACACTCTGACAAATTGTCCATTTCCAGTTCCATCAAACCCAGAACTAGCAGACTAGTTGTCAGCAGATGCTTTTCACACCACTCTGTCTCTCAGTCACACCCAGCTCCTATCTGCCACAATTTCACTTTGATTGTACAGTGTCTGGCAAATTGGTCAGCAGATGTGATAGCTCTATTGTGCAGCCATTGCGTCCTCCAATTGGCAAGCTACAAAACAGCTGTGCAATTGTGCGGGCATATTTCTACATGCTAATGTTTATATGCCTGCATGTGTGTTTGTTTATGCCTGAAATACTCATCAAACATTTCGATTGTTTTTCCTCTCAGCCATGAAATCGGGAGGCACCCAGCTGAAGTTGATCATGACTTTCCAGAATTATGGACAAGCGCTGTTCAAGCCCATGAAGTAAGTAGCACAGATAGACTGCATTTACATATTTCACTACATATCAGAAGGGGACCGCAGATATTGTTAGAGCACTGCTTCAACAGATCTCTTAGATTTGAGGAAATCTGCATTTTCCACAAAAAATAACTAACATCAAAAATCTGTTTGATACTCATGGCTTGATGCGCCCACTTGTAATGCATACGTTTCAAGAGGGCTACAGGAAATCTCATCTGAATGCGTTTCAAGAGCTGCCGCTGCATCTATCGGTGCGTTCGGGTACACAGCTATCCCCTCTGTGTGATCTTTTTCTGTCTGCTTTTTAATTAACACCATCAGGCTTATGTGATAATTAAAATGAGCATTGAGCCATCGTCGAGGCGTCTTTGGGGAGGAATGTATGCTAGCAAAGGCTCATGGCACAGGAAAAAGAAATGCCCTCCCTCTCAGCTGTCTGAGTTTTGCCCGATGAATTCCCATGCCGACACAGATAAACAGGGTCCAGGCCAAAAGGGCTGCGATCAGAAGTAATTGCTCAGGAACCTGGTTTGATTGCTATGATATTCAGAATACGTTTCTACATGAAAGCCGAGTATTGGGTTTTTGGGAAAGAGACTTTGAGACAGACAGATGGGTTGTTGTTGTTGTTGTTGTTGTTGTTGTTGATTGATACTTGTGAAGGCTCACATTATGACAGGTAGAGTTTGTGATGATTCTGTGTTGCAACAAAACCGTTCCCATTGCTATAGCCACAGTAGTGGTGGGAGGATAAGCAGTTTAAACTGAAGATGCTACTGAATATATTTTCACCGTCTCGGTGTGATTTATGGAAAGGCTGCAAAGTTTCTTCACCTAATGTTTGGTGTTCATATTCAAGACAGCAGCGGTGGCAGGTCAGAGCTGTTTCTGTCTCCTAACTATGCATTTCATTCCAAGGTCAATCAGTGGTTGCTTTTTTTATAACATGAGGCATTGTTTATGAACTGAGCCGCAGAGAATACGGTCCAAACAATGGCCATCTGAGCATTTGTTGTAGCTTTCATACACGCAAGTCAACAGCAGGACACCCAGCAGGCATCAATGGCATAGTCATATCTGACAAGAGCAGAGATTACCCTGTGTTTTGTGGTTACATGTGACTGGATTAGGCTTTGAGGGGCTGATGTAGGCAACATAGACATTATGTGTACATGTATGAGTCATGCGTGATGGCAGGATGGGTCAAAGAAGGAGAAGTTCTGAGTTGTGTCAGGCTGTTGCTCTGAGCATCATGTGTTATTAGCGGTGTTAGGGGGATGGCAGACATCATCAGCAGTCATGCAATGTCTTATTATACATTTATATGTAGGTTTAATTATGTTTGGTCAAGCGGAACACAGATAATGAGTGAAGGTTGTGTCAACTCCTGATATGTCTGCATGACTAAATATATTTATATATGTTTATTTATTAGTTTTTACGTCTTTAGAATATACATTTTACTTGAGCATAAAAAAAGTATATTTATTGCCCTGTTTTGGTATTTATGGTACTCTATCCAAAACATTTATAAGAATGCTTATTCATTACAGCAGTTGTAATGCAATCTTTCTCAGTTGCTGTCAGACACTCTTTTTGACAGTAATTACATGTCACATTCTGGATTATATGCTACAGATTCCCGCAGCTCTTTATTTGGCCTGTCAAATTGAATTTAAACATAATGCTTTGACAGTCACAGTCATCTGTCTCCAGTGTTTACAGATATTATATACGTCCTCAGAGCGGAAATACAAAAACATCAGATTTTCCTGAGAAGTAGAAGAATAAGCTTTGTTCTTCTTTTGTTAACGCACACCGTGAGGTAGTGATTTCTCATGGCATTGATGTGTCCCACTTTTATTTTTGGATCTGTGGTGCATTCTGGGTACAGTAGTTCAGAGCGTTGTTGTTTTGCATTGTTTTTTTCTTCGCCTGTCCCATTGTGCAGCATCAAGTGGTGCTTCAAAGAGGCTTTGATGTTTCAGGCCTCCTTTGAGCAGAATGCAGATCTGTTCAGTGGAGTGGGCCAGGAGACTGCACACGCTGACAGCCTGCCAGACACCTCCACACAATGTTGTCTCTGCGCAGCGATGGGAAGAAAAGTTAGCTCCGTTTTATCTGTCTGAAAAACTCTATGATTGGGTTTGATGATTTAAAGTGGGTGCCCACAAAGGGGAAGAAGATGCTTGTTTAGTTTTGAAAAACTGCAATTTGCTTAAGTGTTTTAGGTCACGACGGCTTGTTTTCCCCCCACAAAAAAAAGGCTTTTCCTCAAAATGTTGTGTCTGCCAGATGTTTGTGATCCTCCAAAGCATTTTAATCTGACAATTACATTAAATATGTACAAGTACTGTATAGTTCCTCAGTTGTTGATATTGTAAATGAGGTCAAATGCAAAACGGCATTTACACTAATCATATCCTTCAATAAGATGATTATGAGTGGATGCAGTGGATTTTTCTGACATTCAAACTGTAATGACGTTTACAAAGGAAACTTTGAAATTCCATCGACATTCATTTTGACGCCATCAGCCTTAAAAAAGGGAAAATATATATAATACAACGTATTTATATAAATGTATGTTGTCGTTAGATTGCTGCTGGACCGCCCTGTTAATACCCATGTGGGCTTCCCTTTGTGTGCAGCTCGCGGAGAGTTAAACTGTTTTGTTGTCTGCAGTGAAAAAGTTGATTTGTAAGGCAAAATACCAGCAATTATCCAATTGGAAATGAGGACAATTACCTTTTTGTCAATACATTTTTACTTTTGGTCATGTCAATGATATAGAAGTTGGTAGAAATGTTTGGATTACACAGGGCCACCACTACAATTCGACACATAGTATAATATTATATAAGTGTCTTATTTGTAATCCTCAACCATCCTGGGTTTTACCAGAATAAATACAACAGCAATACAATATAAATTGTATTGTTGATTGAGAGTGTCAATGTAAGGAATGGTTATTCTAAGCTTCTAACTATCCAGTGCACTCCATAAAGCTGGGGATATCAGATGGCTCTGAAAGTAAGCGTCAAAGGCTGTAGAGGATGGAGAGGAATGAAGTGACATGTGAAAAGAGAGCGCTGGTGTTGGAAGACAGATGAGAGGCAGAGATAGACCGGAGGGGGGGGGGAGTAGGCGGCACTGCCAACCTGTCAAGGAACTGGGTCTTCCAGCTGGAGCCGGGTTACAGACCGAGGGGCGGCCCTCCATGCCAGCCCTCCGTGTCTGTCTGGCTCAAGATCCAGGTTCCTCTTCCTACCCATCCCCTGCCAAGATCCTGGTTGTGGTGTATACAGAACTACAATGTTCATGTCATGCTAATTGGATTTGTCAGATGGAGGGTTGGGGGATTGAAGGAGGAGGTGTAAGCCTCAGATAGGCAAACAAAATTATAAATGTTTCCATCGCACGCTGTTTGACAAGCCTGTTCCCAACCCCTCGCTTTAATTCTGATGAATGTCTCATAGTTCAAAATGGGTTATACATCGCAGGAATAGCAGAAATGTCCCTGTTTGTTATGTACATGCCCCAGTCATGCCGTGAGCTGTTATATCAACACACGGGGTTCATTGCATGTAAACACCATGTGCGAGAACATATATATATAGGGCACACATGCGCGTCCTTTAGCACCGTGGGGACTTAGGAGACGTGTCATCTGCATGAGCCAGATGAGCTCTGACAAGCTCTGCTCTTAGCGCTAGTAAAGCCAGTGGGGTTGGCCGTGAAGGCTCTTAGCTGCAACACCCAGGAGGCTGCTTCATTTTTTATCATCTGCAGGCTGTTTCATAACCACAAGTCCATTTGAGGGCCTCATCATATCTACAGCGCCCCAGTTGGGTTATGACTGACATTCCTCCAAGGATCCTCTCCATGTCCTGTAGACGGGGGGTAATTCTATTAGTGCTGAAGCCAGATAATGCCCTCTGCAGAGAGCCTCTCCCTGCTCTGGTTATTGATCTGATTATAAAATATTGATGATTTATTATTGATTTACAGGCGTTCATGTAAAGTGTGTGAGGAAACAGAGCTGTTCATATAGTGTGTTTGATGGCTTGCTGTATGTATGGTATAAGCTTGATGCTTACAGTTATTTCCTACATATGAAAAGAGAATTCTAGGTCCAAATGCCAAGATCACAATCCAGATATGTTCTTCTGTGAATCCGTGTGTGAATTGTCTTTCACATAGGCAGATACAAGCATGGATAGAAACCCAATGACTGGATAATGTTTGCACATGTGAAAAAATCCCATCACATGCAGCCTCAGAAGATCCATCATGATCCAAAGACGCCCCATTGTTAGGAACCTGAACATCTCATTTCATGGATGAACTCAGCATGATGACATACACATGCACACTGTACATCTACATATGCTTGTAAACGTAGGAATTCACTGCTCTACCACATACAAAGCCCCCTTCTGTATTCACGAGTATCCTTTCTGATGTATTGTTCATTTTCTTAGACCTTTAAGGTAAACGTATTGCTCACATCATATCAATTTCATTTTTTCTTCTTCTTTGGTAGTCACTTGTTTAACAGTGTTTCCCTAAAGAGCTCCCAGAAGGGCCATAAGAATGCTGCTGCCTCTCATAAGTTAGATACACTTTTGAGAGGTGCAGTTTGAGCTCATCTTTGGGCGTGTGCACAGATGAAGCATGTTATAGACAGCTGTTCGCACAGCTGCGGCTCACACACACAGACACACACAATAGCATATGCACACAAGCTGCAAAGAGAAGGACGCTGAGGGGGCTATAGAGTTCACGCACCCTCCATGACCCAGGGCTGGTACTGGAGAATGTGTGCGCGGCGAGCCAAGTCGCAGCTGTATCCGCTCACTCAGAGCTGTGGGCATATTACACAGAAGGTGACAACTGCGAGCCAACTCTATGTCTGCACACACTGTAGAAAAGTAGCTCATTCACTCCCGACCGCTCACTATTTAACACTTCCCTAATGACTTCCAGCGTGACAAGTC